CCGAGCAAGGAGCCTGCAGTGCCCTGCGTGGAGCGACAGCTGCTGTGGCGGACGGCGGCCCCTCCTCCCGGCACCGGCCTGTGCGCGGTGGGCTGCCTGTGGCTGACTCAGCAGCTCAGGTGCTGTGACCTCTGCTCGCAACGACCTCCAAGGCCCTTCCTCGCCAGCAGCTTGCACTGGGGATGGCAGCTGGCCTGGTAGCAGCGGGCAGAGGCCAAGGGTCATGGGCAGAACCTGGGCCCCAGACCTGCCCAAGGCAGAGAGCGGTGCAGCCGGAGGGCCAGGTCACGGCCGCCCCCAAAGGCTAAAAGCATCTGTCACCTCAGTTCAGATTAACATTAGGGATCAAAGGCCTAAAAGAAGGGTGTTGTCCCGATGTGGTACTGGGGTGGGGTGGGGTGGGGGAGTGGGCAAGGGCAGCAAACCAGATTCCTGTCAAGCCAAAACCGGTGTGGCTCAGTGGATAGAGCGTCGGGCTGCGGACTGAAAGGTCCCGGGTTCGATTCCGGTCAAGGGCATGGACCTTGGTTGCGGGCACATCCCCGGTGGGGTGTGTGCAAGAGGCAGCTGATGGATGATTCTCTCCCATCGATGTATCTAACTCTCTATCCCTCTCTCTTCCTCTCTGTAAAAAATCAATAAAATGTATTTAAAAAAAAAAGATTCCTGTCAATGCATCACTGGGGATGCTGGCCCCTATTCCTGTCCCCAGGAAGGAAGGAGGTCCCGCTGGCTTATGCAGGCAGGGCGGAGGCTGGGGCTGCGGGGTTGGGAACTTGGGGGCGGGGAGAGGAAGGAGGGGAGGCCGAAGATACTAGACAGTGACAGGTGCTGCCACCCTGCGGGGTCTCCATGCTGGGCTCCTCTCCACTCCCCGTACCCCGGCTGGGCTTACGGCCACTGCAGGCACAGGGTCCAATCTAGGCCTAGGCTGCTGGTTTTATTTTATTTTTTATTTTTTAATATATTTTATTGATTTTTTTACAGAAAGGAAGAGAGAGGGATAAAGAGTTAGAAACATCGATGAGAGAGAAAAACATCGATCGGCTGCCTCTTGCACACCCCCCACCGGGGATGTACCCGCAACCAAGGTACATGCCCTTGGCCAGAATAGAACCCGGGACCTTTCAGTCCGCAGGAGGACGCTCTATCTACTGAGCCAAACCGGTTTCGGCTAGACTGCTGGTTTTACGTAAAGGTCCAGCGGGCTGAGGTGGTGCTGGGACCACAGTCCAGTGCTCTGTTCCAGTCCTCAAGGCAGGACCCTTGCTCCCCATCCTTGGCCCCAAGGGGCAACCACAGTAATGAAATGACTGAGACCCATCCATCCCCGCCTTCCCACAATCCCCTGGGCCTTGGCTGCCACATAAAATGCCCCCATTTGCAGAATGCGGCCCTGTCATGGATCTTGTGCCTGGAACTCTGGGTGGGATCCGGGAAGGGAAGGCAGCAGGTGCCATAGGAGCCGTGGGCTCCCTCTCTGAATTCCCGGGGGGAGAGGGGGGGCATGGTGTGGGTTTCCAATGCCCACTTTTTTAAAAAAATACATATATATATATATATATATATATATATTTATTTTTTTTTTTACAGAGAGGAAGAGAGAGGGATAAAGAGTCAGAAACATCGATGTGAGAGAATCATCAATCAGCTGCCTCCTGCACAACCCCTACTCGGGATGTGCCCACAACCAAGGCACATGCCCTTGACTGGAATAGAACCTGGGACCTTTCAGTCTGCAGGCTGATGCTCTATCCATTGAGCAACACCAGTTTCAGCAGTAATTCAATGCCCACTTTTTAGGTGACTCTGGGACTTGACCGATCCCCAATACTGAGTCTAAATTAGCCTCATTTTGCAGCGTGGGGTCAGCCCGCCCTCCTACGCCCCTTTGATTGCTCACAGCCGGTGCGTCCGGCAGGGGCCCAGCGGGCTGTCACAGCCTTCAGAGCCCGCAGTGCCACGGCTGACACTTTGACAGATGACTAAAAGCCCAGCTAATCGGACAGAAGCACTTCCCCTAAGCAAGTCCCTTTATCTGTATTTAAGCTCCATCTATCCTTGGATAACTCAACTGACAACGGTGCCAGCCCCTCTGAGGGATGGCGGATGAAGTGACACAATCGATGGATAAAAGAAAGCCAGGGATTCTGACTCACCGCCCCCATCAGAACATCCCGGCAGAGGCCGGAGATGCCAGCTCAAAAGCCCAGAGCAAGCCGAAACCGGTGTGGCTCAGTGGATAAGAGCGTCAGCTATGGACTGAAGGGTTCCAGATTCGATTGCGGTCAAGGGCATGTGCCTTGGTTGCGGGCACATCCCCAGTGGGAGGCGTGCAGGAGGCAGCTGATGGATGTTTCTCTCTCATCGATGTTTCTAGCTCTCTATCCCTCTCCCTTCCTCTCTGTAAAAAAATCAATAAAATATATATTTTTAAAAATCAATTCCTACGCCTAAGAACATCAAAACCAGACTAACTACAATATCCAGTGCTGCCAAGGGTGCACTAAACTGGCATTCTCACATACGCTGGAAGAAAGGCCTCTTTGGGGAGCAAGTTGGCAACATCCATCAAGAGCTATAACATGCCAAAACCAGTGTGGCTCAGTGGGTAGAGCGTCAGCCTGCGGACTGAAGGATCCGGGTTTCGATTCCGGTCAAGGGCATGTACCTTGGTTGCGGGCACATCCCTTGTAGGGGTGTACAAGAGGCAGCTGATCGATGATTCTCTCTCATTGATGCTTCTAACTCTCTATCCCTCTCTCTTCCTCTCTGTAAAAAATTAATAAAATATATATATTTTTTAAAAGTGCTATAACAAGTGGAATAGATATTTCTCCAAAGGACATACGGAAGGCCAAGAGACACATGAAAAAAATGTTCAAAGTCACTAATCATCAGAGAAATGCAAATTAAAACCCCATTGAGACATCCCCTCACGCCTGTCAGAATGGCTGTCACCAACAAATCAACAAACGACAAGTGCCGGCGAGGATGCGGAGAGAAGGGAGCTCTCGTGCACGGCTGGTGGGAATGCAGACTGGTGCAGCCGCTGTGGAGAACAGTATGGAGTTTTCCTCAAAAAATTAAAAGTGGAACTGCTGTTTGACCCAGCGATCCCACTTCCGGGAACATATCCTAGAAATCCCAAAAACACCTATCAGAAAGAATACATGCACCCCTACGTTCATAGCATTATGTACAATAGCTAAGATTTGGAAACAGCCCAAGTGCCCATCAGTAGATGTGTAGATAAAAATACTGTGGGACATTTACACTGTGGAATACTGTGCAGCAGTAAAAAAAAAAAAAAAAAAGAGGGCTCTCTTACCCTTTGGGACAGCGTCGAGGGACCTGGAAAATATTATACTAAGTGAAAATATTATACTAAGCCAAACTGAGAAAGACAAGTGTCACATGACCTCATTCATTTGTGGAATCTAATGAACAAAATGAATTGACCAACAAAATAAGATCTGAAGCAGAGAGGCCCGGAACAGACTGGCATGTGGAGTTCGGGGACAAGAAGACATAATCCAGAGAATTATATACCTCCTGGAGGCCCGGTGAGTGAAGATTCGTGCAAGAATGGGCCTTCCTTCCCTTGGCTGCCTGTCAGCACCGCCTTCACTCTGGCCAGAGCCCCCGTTTTGCTCCAGCCCAGAGCTCCCTTTCTGCCTTCCCACACTGCCCAGAGGCCCTGAGCAGCTGGGGCAACACACAACACCCCATCCCAGCCAACAGGAGCCTGCATATGCAAATTAACCTGCCATCTCTGTTGGGTTCATTTGCATACTCTCTCCTGATTGGCTGGTGGGTGTTGTGAAGGTATGGTTAATTTGCATCTTACTCATTTATTAGTGTACATATGTATAGCCCATGGACACAGAAAATAAAGACCTGGGGGTGGATGGGAAAGAGCAAGGAAAGGGAAAAGGAAATGGGAGATATCTGTAACACATCAACAATAAAAAAATACATTTAAAAATAACTATAAAGTGTTAATATATTATTTCCAGCAATGTGTCCTAAGGAAATGTCCAAAAGAAAGCAATAGGTCTGTTCGATGATCAATTGAGGTCATTGGTTGCATGGAAGATGCTCACTATCTATAGTAGCAAAAAACTGGGAGCCACTTAAATATCTAACCATAAAGGGAGAGATTAAGGACATTATAGAGCGTTGGTGGGATGATCACACAGACATTGAAATGCGAGTTATAAAGATAATGTGGTACCAGGGAAATATTTTTTCTTCATTTGCCATCATTTTAATGAAAAACAAACAAACAAAACAAAAAAAAAAACAGCTCTATCTGGTTTGGCTCACTGGACAGAACATCAGCCTGAAGACTGAAGGGTCCCAGGTTCAATTCCAGTCAGTGCATGTACCTTGGTTGTGGGCACATCCCCAGTGTGAGGTGTTCAGGAGGCAGCTGATCGATGTTTCTCTCTCATGTTTCTAACTCTCTATCCCTCTCCCTTCCTCTCTGCAAAAAAATCAACTATATATATATATATATATATATATATATATATATATATATATATATATATATATTTTATTTATTTTTTTTTTTTTTAAAGGCAGGAGCCGAAACCGGTTTGGCTCAGTGGTAGAGCGTCGTCTGTGGACTGAAAGGTCCCAGGTTCGATTCCCGTCAGGGGCATGTACCTTGGCTGCGGGCACATCCCCGGTGCGAGGTGTGCAAGAGGCAGCTGGTTGATGTTTCTCTCTCATCGACGTTTCTAGCTCTCCATCTCTCTCCCTTCCTCTCTGTAAAATATCAATAAAAAAAAAAATATATATATATATATATAGTATATATATATATAAAGGCAGGATATATGATTATAAGACATTAATTCTCACAATAACACCTGTGGGGAGGTGGCAGGATCGGGGGTGCATCCTTTTCCCGCCACTTCCCAACTCCATCACCTGGCTTTGGATGAAACACATGTGACCGTGAACGCTAAAACCGGCCCGCGGGGCGGTACCTTGGCTCCATCCACGCTGATGATCCGGTAGCTGTTCCTGATGACATCGTAGAAGTAGGACACGGTGACGGCCTGCTTGCTCGCAGGCACCCAGTTCTTCTTGGTGGTGGGGTCGATCTGGAAGACGTGCGCCCGTGTGGTGAATATGGGCTGTTCTCTGCAAGGCGAGAGACGGGCGCGTGAGTGGATGTACCATTTATTATTTATAAGCCGCCTACCGTTCCCGGCGATTTTAATATAGCTTATAAGGAGAGATCCATATGCATGAGGACAATTAAAATAAGAAAAGGGAAGCCGAAACCGGTTTGGCTCAGTGGATAGAGCGTCGGTCTGCGGACTGAAAGGTCCCGGGTTCGATTCCGGTCGGGGGCATGTATGTTGGCTGCGGGCACATCCCCTGGTAGGGGGTGTGCAAGAGGCAGCTGGTCGATGTTTCTCTCTCATCGACGTTTCTAGCTCTCTATCTCTCTCCCTTCCTCTCTGTAAAAAATCAGTAAAATATATTTTAAAAAATAATTAATAAGAAAAGGGAAGAGAGGAGAGACACCAGAGACGTAGTTTATGGAAACCTAACATCCTGAGGTTGTGGGGAAACTGGCATAATAATCAATTTGCTTAAAATGCAGCTCCTGCCGAAACCAGTTTGGCTCAGCGGATAGAGCATCGGCCTGTGGACTGGAAGGTCCCAGGTTCAATTCCGGTCAAGGGCATGTACCTTGGTTGTAGACACGTTCCCAGAGGGGGTGTACAGGAGGCAGCTGATTAATGTTTCTCTCTCATCGGTGTTTCTAACTTTCTATCCCTTTCCCTTCCTCTCTGTAAAAAAATCAATAATATATATTAAAAAAAAAAATTTTTTTTTAAATGCAGCTCCTGGTCCAGTGAGTTTGTGCACCCCATTAACTGTCCTTTTTTTTTTTTTTTTTTTTTTTCTTTCTCACATCCTGTTGGCATTTTTAGGAATTTGCAACGAATTTATTGTGGGAGATTCTACAATAATGTTAGGATTTTGCTAACCATTTGTAACCTCACAGTCTATTTCTGTTAAGTACTTCTCAAATCCAAAGCATTTTATTAATGATGCACTCATTCATAACTGTCCGACCCTTAAAGTTTTATGTTTCCAACTTATGAACCCTTTTGAGTTTTATGTAAAATTCATCAGATCTTTCTCTAGCTAATCTTTTTTTATTTTTAATATATTTTATCGATTTTCTTTCGTGTTTTTTTTTTGAAGAGAGGAAGGGAGAGGGATAGAGAGCTAGAAACATCAATGAGAGAGAATCATCGACCAGCTGCCTCCTGTACACCCCCCACTGGGATGTGCCCGAAACCAGGGTATATGCTCTTGGCCAGAATCAAACTTGGGACCTTTCAGTCCGCAGGCCGACGCTCTATCCACTGAGCCAAACTGGTTTCAGCTCTTTGGCTAATCTTGCCTCTACTTTGCTGCTTTTTCATTCCACACACCTGTAAATTCTTCATGTGATTATTAACTGTTAGCATATTATCTATTTTTCTGTTGAGTGGCGAATTAGTTAGATCTTGACAATGAGCATTAAGAAATAAGGCAAGCGAAACCGGTTTGGCTCAGTGAATAGAGCATCATCAGCCTGCAGACTGAAGGGTCCTGGGTTCGATTCCAGACAAAGGCATGTACCTTGGTTGCGGGCACATTCCCCAGTAGGGGGTGTGCAGGAGGCAGCTGATGGATGTTTCTCTCTCATCGATGTTTCTAGCTCTCTGTCCCTCTCTCTTCCTATCTGTAAAAAAATCAATATTTATTTATTTATTTATTTATTTATTTATTTTTAAAGAAGAGGAAGAAGCAGCGCCTCTGGGAGTGTGGACTACCTGGTCATCTCTCTTCTCTCAACAGCGACCGAGTTCACCCACTCACTCAGCCCGGGGTGAGTGCTGTGAAAACAAAAGGAATGTTCTCGCTGCAGCTGTCGCATCTGGCGCCCAGGGCAGGCTGGGCGGCGAGCGTGCGCCTGAACACGGTCTGCCACCCAGGCCCATGCGGGCAGGCTGACATCTGGAGGCCCAGCTGTGCTGCCGCCACCCAGGTGACATGTTCTGCTAATCGTCTGAGTCCCCCACCACAGGGCATAACACTTGCTCAAGCGGGATGAAAGAAGGGGGCCGTGGGATGGGTAGCAGGAGTTTTTATTTTTATTTATTTTTATTTTTTATTTTTTATTTTTTATTTTATTGATTTTTTTTTACAGAGAGGAAGGGAGAGGGGTAGAGAGTTAGAAACATCGATGAGAGAGACTCATCGATCAGCCGCCTCCTGCACCCCTCCCCCCCCCCCACTGGGGATGTGCCCGCAACCAAGGTATGTGCCCTTGACTGGACTTGAACCTGGGACCTTTCAGTCCGCAGGCCGATGCTCTATCCACTGAGCCACACGGGTTTCGGCGGGAGTAGAGGTTTTTAAAGGACTGGATTGTGCTAAAACCCTGCCTCCCTTGTGCAGGGCACCAACAAGTTGGGCAGAGTCCCCCTCCTCTTCAGGGTTTCCAGACCTTCCCTCGTGCCCTCCACACTGAGGGAGAGAGATCGGGTCTGGGTTTCAGCGCCTCAGACCTCTGACAGCAGTGAGCTGAGCACTTCACCTGCAAATACAGGTGTCCCTGCCCCAGCCTCGCCCCTGGCAACCTGTCTCTCCGGGGCAGGGAGGGGGCTGAAGGTTTATTCTTTTTTATTAAATATATATATTTTTATTGATTTTTTACAGAGAGGAAGAGAGAGGGATAGAGAGTTAGAAACATTGATGAGAGAGAAACAACCATCAGCTGCCTCCTGCACACCCCCTACTGGGGATGTGCCTGCAACCAAGGTACATGCCCTTGACTGGAATCGAACTTGGGATCCTTGAGTCCACAGGCCGACGCTCTATCCACTGAGCCAAACCGGTCAGGGCTAGATCTGGGATTTTAAAGTCAGTGCAAGTAGCATGGACAGCATCCCTCTTAATCATTATGCTGTTCCCTCTCCCTAAATTAAGGGTCTGTATCTGGCAGCTTATTTTTTTTTTAATATATTTTTATTGATTGCAGACAGGAAGGGAGAGGGAGGGAGGGAGAGGGAGAAAGAGAGAGAGAGAGAGAGAGAGAGAGAGAGAGAGAGAGAGAGAGAGAGAGAGAAAGAAACATCAGTGATGAGAGAGAATCATTGATCAACTGCCTCCTGCAGGGCCTTACTGAGGATCGAGCCTGGAACCTAAGCATGTGCTCTTGACCGGAATCAAACCCGGGACCCTTCAGTCCACAGGCGGACAACACTATCCACTGAGCCACACCGGTTAGGGCCTGGCAGCTTCTGATGACTTTCCCAATGGTACTCACCTCATGTACCCAGGGCCCTCTGAGCAGGGGTGGGATCTATGATTTGCTTTGAACCAAAAGAATATGTCAGAGGAGATGGGATGTCCCTTGTACAAGCAAGTTACGTAGGACTGTGACTTCTGTCTTGCTAGCAAAGTCTCTCCATGGAGTCCGTCTGGCTGGTGTTGATGAAGCCGGCTGCCATTGGTGGGGAGGCCCACATGGCAGGAACGGAGGGTAGCCTCCAGCCAACAGCCAGAGTGGAACTGAGGTCCTTCATCTAAACCACTCAAGTCCTAGGCAGTGTGGCTCAGTGGATAGAGCCTCAGCCTGCAGACTGAAGGGACCCAAGTTCAATTCCAATCAAGGGCATGTACTGCGGTTGCAAGCACCTGGTTTGGGTACATACAGAAGGCAACCAATCGATGTGTCTCTCTCACATCAGTGTTTGTCTCTTCCTCTTCCTCCCACTCTCTCTAAAAATCAATGGAAAAAATGTCCTCAGGTGAAGATTAAAAAAAAAAAGAAGAAGAAAAGAAGTTGAAACCAATTTGGCTCAGGGGATAGAGCGTCGGCCTGCAGACTGAAGGGTCCCAGGTTCGATTCCGGTCAAGGGCATGTACATTGGTTGCGGGCACATCCCCAGTGGGGTGTGTGCAAGAGGCAGCTGATCGATGGTTCTCTCTCATCGATGTTTCTAACTCTCTATCCCTCTCCCTTCCTCTCTATGAAAAATCAATAAAATATATTTAAAAAAAAAAAAAACTAACTTAGGGTCACCGTGACTTCAGGCGACCTGCACACACCCCTACATCTTCCTGGGCAAAGTCAGAGCGTGCCGCAGAACTCGCCCCAAAATCCCGAAAAGCGGACCCCAGCTCCGACGGGGCATCCTGCCTCACCCGAGAAAGTGGAAGGGACGGAACTAGGACACAGACGTCAGCTCCCGTAAAGTGTGCGAACCGGTATAAATAGAAAAATCCGAGGGAAGCAGAACTCTCCGGCCCAGGAGGCCACCTTGCCCGCCCAGCAGGGAAGAGCTGGAGAGAGTGCGTGTCAGAGAACAGAGACCCCCCCCCTTCAGATCCCATTTATCCTCCCCTCTTTGGTGTCCGCAGCATGGGGAGTCTGTTTCAAATAGACGCGCATTCCCCCTTCGGCACTTTAAATAGAAAGGAAGATGCTTCTGGATGGAGAAGTGTTTTTAAGGCAGACAATGCGACCGACTGTTCCCAGTCTTTTTAGAGCTGAATAAACACCGATTGCTGCTCGCTGAGCACATTTTGGAACCTGGCAGTAATTGTCCTCGAGAATAATTAAGACACTCTGTGCAAAACATGTATGTTTGGAACATGAGAACCGCTCGGCCGAGGGGCCACTCACTCTGGCTTAGGCCCGATTCTGGCCCCAGGTGAGAGGATTCTGCAAAGAATTGGCATGACTACTTTTTTCTTTTCCTGTTTTCTTTTCTTTCTAAATATATTTTATTGATTTTTCACAGAGAGGAAGAGAAAGGGATAGAGAGTTAGAAACATCGATGAGAGAGAAACATCGACCAGCTGCCTCCTGCACACCCCCTACCGGGGATGTGCCCGCAACCAAGGTCCATGCCCTTGACCGGAATCGAACCCTGGACCCTCCAGTCCGCAGGCCGACGCTCTATCCACTGAGCAAAACCGGTTTCGGTATGACTACTTTTATCAGAAAAATAATGTGTTCTTTTCTAATAGCCCCTCACTTGCGATGCTCAGCTCCTGGCTTTTTCTGCTAGGCACCTATAAAAACCTCACAGTTCTTACTCTCCCTATGTCTCCTTGACTTGAAT